AAAAGAAAAGAAAACGGCACAAATAATTTAGATATTACATTTAGGCTGCAGCAGAGAATAAAATAAGGTTAGAAGAGTAAAAAACATTTATTAGACATAAGCTACGTGAAAGGCAGTTTGTTAAATACTTTGCTTATAATATTATAAGAATTCCTCCTACCTTTCAGGGCAGACATTAGTACCAGTTTTATGGATGTGAAAAGTGAGGCTACCATGGTAAAGTACAAAGTGTTCATGCTCATAACTAGTAAACAGCTGAGTTTAGACTCAAGTCCAGTCTATCTTGATTTCAGCATTCTTACATACGGCTGCTGGGTCACCTCCTTTTTCAGGAATTAGAACTGGAATTAGGCTTGGAGATTTTATGTTGTAGTTAGGAATCAAGGCGATTCACGAATTGTCTAAGTTAGTACTGCTTCTGAATATCCCAGTTACTACACACTTGCTATATTTCAAATATGAAAATGATCAGTGTAAGTTGGTTTACACAGGAGTGACATTCAATAAAGGAAATATGTTCTTTGATCTTTTATTTGCTTAACAAGCAGCTTTCAAATTTCAGTTTTATTAATTGCTCTGAAACCCTACAATTTAGGTAAACCTAATTACATTTGATTTTACTCATTTGGTTAGCTCTCTTTCAAATATAACTGGGACTGAAAACAATCCCTCCTATCTATATGTGTCATATGTAACATAACAATAGGAAATGCCAGGAGACATCTATCTACTCCTTCGAAATTAGACCTAACTTGATTTCTAACGAAGGATTTGCTCTTGCAAGAAATTGCCTTGACAAGTCTTTTCTTCCAAAAATCAATATTTTTTTTCTTGTTTCTTTGGAAAAACAATTTCATAGCCTTCTGGCATCATTTATGCCTTCTACAATAAGGAATGACCAATGTTAATTATACCATAGATGTATACTATTGAATTCAAACTTTGATCAAGACAGACATGGTATTTGTCACACCATAGGGTGGCAAGACTTGGCATAGAAGGAGTTAATTTGGGGGGAGGGGTCTAGGTTCAAACCAAGAGGTCTTTGTTAGCAGTCAGGCTGTAACTGAGATTTTTGGAGACAGTGACAGACATAGCACCAAACACCCTCATTGCTGTCAGAATAGCAAAATAGATAACAGAAACTCAAGACTGTGGCCAAGCCCTAAGACATAAAGACACCAGATGTCAAAATGGAGAACAGGATATCAGCTGCTAGGCAGCTCTTTAAATTTTGAGCAAGTCAGTTTTTGTCGACCTAGTCAGATCATGGTGGCTCTATCCACAGAGCACCTTAAAGGTCATGGGAATCCTCTGATGAGTCTCACTGATCATTGATCATCATCCCTGAACATTTATCAAATGATCAGACAATACCTGACATCACTGTAAGATGTTTCCCCATGTCCCACCTGTTTGGGAGTAAAACAAAATCACATTTATGGGAAAAAGGGTTAGGTTTACCAATCATGTTCAAAACCATTGTGAGAACCAGCCTTCTTCAAGGCCCTATCTTGTCAGAAGTCTAAAGGAAGGTGACATATCCCCAAAAAAAACCAGTTGCCTTGACCATTGTTATCTTCAGCTTCCTGGTCCCTCCTTTTCATCTCTTTTTAGGTTTACCAATCATGTTCAAAACCATTGTGAGAACCAGCCTTCTTCAAGGCCCTATCTTGTCAGAAGTCTAAAGGAAGGTGACATATCCCACAAAGAAACCAGTTGCCTTGACCATTGTTATCTTCAGCTTCCTGGTCCCTCCTTTTCATCTCTTTTTGCAGGATGTTGTTCCTTATTTTGACAAGTTGGCTAATTTCTCCCAGATTCATTTGCCCCTTATTTAAATTGTAAATATCTCTCATGAGAGGTTTATAGATAATAACATGTTTAAAGGGCCTGCCACATAGCTGATGCATACATTTTGATGGATTTCCTTCTCTTCCCTTTTCCCTTCATTGACTTCTATTCCAAAGAAAAGCTTAGAATCCAAGATAAACTGAAAAAAAAAGAAACATTTGTCATTTCTGTGCTTTGCACCTTTTCTACCAGGGAAAGACCTTTATAACACAACACTTAAGGTGTGGCATGCTCCTTCTAGAGTGTTTCCACCCTCTCAAAGCCTCAACAGACTGCAGCAAAGCAAAGCAACCCAGGTGGGCTGGCCACAACTGAATGAGCTTGCTCTGCCTTGGCCATACCTGAGTATCAGTGAAGAGTCATTCAAAGGAGCTGGAACCTAAATCTCAATTACAAAAGGCTTGAGGTAATTTCATCTCATATTTGGAGAGAAGACTTTTTGTCTTAATTCTCTGATAGTGGCACATTTATTCCTTCCTTCCTTCCAATAATAAGATGTAGCCCTGTGTGGCCCAGAGTCTGCATCAGAGACTAGCAGCACTTGCCACTGTGGATCAATGTGCATGTGGGCTGCCCTGCACCGAAAGTGGGACCAGACAAGAAAGTATGTCACCTTTGATTACTCAGCCTGTCCTGGTGCTGAAGAAACAAGATGTGAAGAATGGCCTCTCAAGAACATTTGACCCGGCCTGCAAAATCACTGCAACTTTAACCCTTCCCTGCTGGAGATTCACGTGCAGTCCTCAGAGGCATTTTCAATGGAATGTCATCTTCAATCAATGGCCTATATGCAGACACATAAACATTTAGACTCCACGGGAAAACCATCCTCTATTAAGAATAGATCGATAATGGGCAGAACTAACTTCACAGAATTTTTCTTTGGCAGCACATTGTAGTTAGTACGTTGTACTGGGCAGCATGAAATCTGGTTTGTAAGCTTGGCTTGTCCTCAACTAGCTGTGTGTGCCACTGTTCTCCCATCTGTCCAATGAAGGAGTTGGATAGGATGGGATCTAATTGCCCTTCCAGGTCTGAAATTCCCTAGATAGCATCACTGCAAAGATCCAGGGCTTAGGGTTGCACAGACGTGGTTTAATATCAGCTCAATCACTTACTGGCAAGTTACCAAACTTTTTTGAGTTTATAAGCAATGGAGATGATAAGAGTGCTTAATACGTAGGATTATTTGGAGAAGCAAATTAAATAATTTAATCATAGTAGTTAGCTCAGTGGTTGGCCTATATAAATTACTTAATAAATTTAAAAACTATATTTATGATTGCTTGTAAGATCTGTTTAACTGTTGGTCACTGATAATAAATGTATAAAAGAGACTACTTTAAAAGTTAATTGCTGAATAGACATTCAACTTGTCAAGAAAGATTTGAAGATTCCATTTCTATAAATGCTTTTGCATTGCTGTGTCAGAAAATGTACAGAAAAAAAATAAACAAATAGACAAAACAAATAACCAAGAATCAGGTCTCCGTGCCTGCTAACATGAAGGCCCTGCAGTTTCAGTGTGTGTAGACCAGCTTCTCCTTCTGTTCTGCCTTCTCCTCACTAGCAAATCTGCACAAATCATGGAAACAACCCGTAGAAACCCCATTTACAGTCAACCTGCATAGAAAAGCCAAAGGGAAGAGTCAATGCAATTAACCTAGAGTGAAATCCTGCTTCTAAAAATTCTCCTGCTCTATTCTTGGATTTATAGTACAAGGTTTTCACTATAATGGCTCTTGTAAATTAATTGCAGACACAATTGTCTACAGGCATTCTCAGAATAAGTGGCAAGTAGTTAATTGCACCCCAAATTAGCCAATTCTGCCCATAATGAACCATTTGAAGACAATTAATTGCATGCATAATATTTGCACCTGCAACTAATTGGAGACCCTTATATTGTTCCTGGAATAAATAAATAAATAAATAACAACAGCAGCAACAAAAGAACCAGGGGTTACTCTTAAAATGTAGTCTTTTATAGTCTAAGATTCTAGAGAGCTAGGAAAGGGACAGAGCTTAGGAAACACTCAACTGTGTTACAGCTGCCTAAATGCAAAGCAATTTTTTAAATGTATTTTTTTAAATTGACAAATAAAAGTTGTATATATTTATGGCGCATAACACGTTTTGATATATGTACACATTGTTGAATGACTAAATCAAACTAATTAACATATTCATTTACTAACATTCTTGTCATTTTCTTGTGGTTGGAAAAGCATTTTTAAATCATCTAGGACCAGCAAGGTTTGTAGGACACTATCTTTTGCTTGTTTTCTTTTTTTATTTTTTTCCTTCCTAAGTAATGTGAACGGCTTTTACTTAAACTTAATCTCTTCAGCTATCTAATCAAAACGTTTAGGGATATCCAAGGTTTGGTAATATTAAGACCATCCTGCATATTGAAATAATGGTGTTATTTTAGAAAAAAGGGCTAAGTTCTCTTATTTTTGCTTTTCTTTCACCCATAGGCTAAGTTGGTGCTTGCCAGAGTAAAAAACAAATGTTCTCCTAGACTTACATAGCATTAGAAAAATAAGCACATATGTATCATTGCTTCAGCTGGTGTGTGGTTGTGGATTAGCACAATCTCTTTTCAGTCTTAAGAAAACAAATTGCTATTAATAATAACATAATAGTAATAGCAATGATAGTATTAACAATAATAGTGATAATAGTATCAATCACTAAATGTAGTAAATATTTTTGCCTAGAAATTAACATACATAATCTAATTTAAAATGTCACAACAATTAGAACATCTTTTATGCCCATTCGTAGATAAGAAAATTGCTCTTAAAAGCTACATAATTTTCCTAAAGTTACACAGCTAATAAATCACAGAGATGCAATTTAAACTTGGATAACTTAGTCCATATAAAATGCTCAGCACAGTGCTGGAGACACAGTGAATGCTTCATTAAGATTACCCAAAGTATTTATATTTCTATTAATTTCTATGTTTATTCTCTTTAAACTGCCATGTTGAGGGTGAGATAGTAACACCATGCTGGCATTACAGATATATGAAATAAACTCAAGCATATGTGATCAACTAATGTTTGACAAAGACACCAAGAACACACAAGAGAGAAAGGATGGTCTCTTCAAATAAATGGTGCTGGGAAAACTGGATATTCACATGCAAAAAAATGAAATTAGATCTTAACCTTATACTTCACACAAAAGTCAACTTAAAATTGATTAAAGACCTAACTGAAACGGTAAAATTCGTAAAAAATATATAGCGGAAAATTTCAATGACATTTTTCTTGCCAATGTTTTTTTGAATATGACACCAACAAAAACAAATAATTGAGACTACGTCAAACTGAAAAGTTTATGTACAGCAAAGGACACAATCAACAAAATGTAAGGTCAACTCATGAAATGGAAGAAAGTGTCTGTAAACCATATATCTTATTAAGCAGTTGACATACAAAATATATAAAGAACCCATAAAACTCAATAGGAAAAAAACAAACAACCTGATTGAAAAATAAGCAAAATATTTGAATAGACATTTTTTTCAAGAACATGCAAATAGCTAACAGGTACATGAAAGGGAGCTCAAAATCACTAATCAGGGAAATGAAAATCTGAACCACAATGAGATATCTCATCACACCTACTAGGAGCTATACACACACACACACACATATACCCATACACCCACAATGAAGTATTATAAGCCTTTAAAAAGAAGGAAATCCTGCTATTTGCAGCAACATGGATGAACCTGGAGGACCTTATGCTAAGTGAAATAAGCCAGACACAGAAAGATAAATATTGCATGATCTCACTTATATGAAGAATCTAAAAGAGTTGAACTTACAGAAACAGAATGGCAGCATGGTTACCAGGAGTCAGGGGTGGGAGAAATGGGGAGATGCTGGTGAAAGGGACAAACTTTTGATTATGAGATGAATAATAGTCTGGAGACCTAATGTACAGCATAAGTACTATAATTATTAATAATGTATAGTTACTTGAAATTAACTAAGAGAGTAGATCTTAAGTATATGGATATGTTAATTAGCTTGATTGTGTAAAGTATTTTATAATGTACACATATATCAAAACATTATACACCTAAAAAATATACAATTTTTATTTGTCAATTATATTCAATAGTGTGAAAAAAATTATAATTAAAAAAACACACATTCTGGCTTCAAAAAGTGTGTACTTAATACACTATGTCACCTCTTAAAATCTGGACAGAAGGATTTACCTGTAAAAATGGGTGTGTGCATGCATGTGTATGTGTGTGCATATACGTGTGTCTGTGTGTGCATTCATGTAAACTTGGATGTGATGAAGCTGTCTGTTATAAGTCAATCAGTAAATTAAAAATGGACCCAGATGCTAAATGCTTGCTTTCTCAAATGGTAGCAGAACCTTGTGGGAGGACAGGGGAAAAGTCGCTCTCTTTTCTGCTTACCTGGGAAGTTGGAGCCCGCCGGCTAAAGATTAGTCCTGGAAGGAGGCCCTCTCAGTGGTGACTCGAAATCCGTTCACGGAATCATCAAGAACAGTTGCCTGTAAATGAAAGCAGGAGCCAAGAGCCAGAGCTAAGTTGGGGGCTGGGGGTAGGCCAAACCACATGGTGATCGAAGAGGACTGGCTAGAGCAGGTAGCCACAGTTCACAGGAGAGGGAACAACAGGGAGAAAACGGAGTGTACACAGGCAGGTGGCACAGGGTGGGGAGGCGGCAGCTGCTGACAAGTGGAGGTTTCATTCTGCACAGGTTCTGTCACTGCCCAGGGACTGGGGGCTCCTCAGTGAGGCCGAGTGGGTTTCCCACACCGTGCTCTGTTTGGTTGGCATGGAACTACCCTACATTACAAGCTGAAACACACTAAGGGTTGGCTTCTACCATCATGTAAAAGGACTCGGTTAAGGATTGTATTAAGGACAAACAACAGAGCTCCTGACAAAGGAGCAGGAGGAGCGGGCCTTGGGGTGCTGAGTTGAGCAGGTCATCACGTGGCCAAGAACTGACACCAAACTCCTGGCAATGAGGGAAAACAAAGAAACTGAAACTTTTTGCAGGGAGAAGGGCATATGAGTTTTATTATGTGATAATGAAAAGCAATAAAGACACCAGAAAATGTATGGGTTTTTTTTCCCCCTAAAAGCAAACCTAAAACATGGCATTGTCAACTGAGTCTCTGACAAAAATTTTGAAAGGGCAAAACAAATGATAGGCCTGTGGCACACTACTAAACAGCTTTGTCATCCAGTAGACGTAAATCCATTCATCGTGATGTCGAGAGGGTGGTTTTACACTCAGAAACAAGTAACTCTCCTTTCAGTTTGCATTTTTCCAGCCTGTCCACGAGTGTGAATGTCCTGCTGAGTCAGGCGCGCATATGTGCACACGCGTCTGTACACGGGTCCACCCCACACTCACATCTCTTCTGTTTACCAGTGTAGTTCCTCATCAATAAGAGCAATGGTGCTAGGTTAGCAGGTGTTCTTAGTAAGGTTGTCCTCTTGTAAAGTAATCCTTCCTTTCTTCTCTCCTTTTGAAGTCGTCTGCTTAATTATCCATACATTTTTTTCCCCAGAGATTAATGTTAAATGCATGAATCTTGATTTTACTTCTCCTTCCCTTTGCAACATCTGAGCAAAACTAGGATTGTAGTATCTAATATTCAAAACAACTGCCTGGAGATTAATAAGAGGGTTCGTTATCCAAGATGCAAGTCCTTTAGAGTCTTACAAGATGGAATGTCCAGGTGACTGCAGTGGGCAGCAGCTTCTTTTCTTTGCCCACTTCCTTTGGGCAAGAGCGTACCAATTTTGCTTTATGGAATTATCCTTTCCCTAGCACAGTGCACACCTTCACCTGCTAGAAGGATTAGTTATTTTGAATAATTTGTAACCTCCACTGTCTTATTCCGGTCAGAAGGCCCATCCATACAAGTCTTGGAAGTAGATATAGTTATGTATCATTGTTTTTTTGGAATTTTTGATAGCTGTCAGGGGTGACAGTTATGGTTAACCATGATCTTCAGTTTCCTCCTCAACAGTGATTTTTTAGATGCATGTTATTATACACATTTAAGAATGTTTCTGCTCCACTAGATTTTAAGCCTGCCTTTTGTCTTCAGATAGAACTTCAGCACAAAATGAATGCATTATGGGAGGATTCATGGCTGACCGTCCACCAGAGCATCTGTTTAACTGTCTGACACCTTTTCCCTATCCACAACCAGAACTTGAGTTTAAAGCTTCCCTAATAAAATTGGCAAGCACCCTGATAAATACATGTTTGCTCCTATCTGCCCAGGTAGATGCGAGAGGCTTCTGGGGACGCTGGAAGGGGGTTGGTCAGGAGAGAAGAGCAGACAAGAAGGAACTGGAGCAGGCAGAGCAGGTGGAGGAAAGGCTAAGAAAAATGACTCTGCTTCGGTCAGTCTTGAGTGTTGTGCAATTCCTGCATTCCCGAGAGCTCGTCTACCTTCGTCTGTGTTCTCATTTCAGGCGGTCCTGGTCACAGAATCCCCCAGATCCCCGATCCCTCGCCTCCCCCGCCCCATCCTGCCTTCCCTTCCTCCCCCTCCCCCACACCTCCTGCACACCGCATGAGCATGAACTCGCAGATGCATAATTTATACAGACATGCATTCGCTGGCGGATGCCACTCCTTTCAGAGTCACACAAAAGCAATGAAAAGAATCGCTCCTAGAATATGAGGCACAAATCAGATGGTGGTGGCCCCAGTGGTATTGTGAAACACGTGCCTTAATAACGTGAAAATCTCTCTGCAGCCACCATGGGGTTGGCTTCAAAGACGCCAGCGTCTCAAACCACTGCCTGTCTGTAGAGGACGAGTCACCAGGAGCCCTTTTTCACATTATTTGCAAGTGGCTCACCTTGCCCGCTCTTCAAACATGGCCTCATTGCCACCTGCCAGGCAGAGGCTTGGTGTAAAATGCTGTCCTATTATGTAGGAAGATGGTGTGATCTTGCAACACCTCACATCCAGACAGCCAGATTGAAAAGAGCAGATGGAAATCAGGGGGAGGGGACGAGGTCAGGGTGAGGATTAAGGATGCATTTCTCATTTATTAGCAGTCCTCCCCAACCCACCATACACAGGTTTGAAAAAACAGTTATTTTTTTAAAAAATGGAAGAAAACAAAAACTCACAAACCTATCAGTGAAAGATAGGTGAATCTCGCACCCGGAGGCGTTCCTTGCCTCAGAGCTGGTGTGAAGTCATTGTCTGCTTCTGCGCTGCACCCAGCACCTCTCCTGCGTCTTCGTGGGAAGGCTAGGCTTGATGGAAGAAAACAAAAACTCACAAACCTATCAGTGAAAGATAAGTGAATCTCGCACCCGGAGGCGTTCCTTGCCTCAGAGCTGGTGTGAAGTCGTTGTCTGCTTCTGCGCTGCACCCAGCACCTCTCCTGCGTCTTCGTGGGAAGGCTAGGCTTGAAGGGAGTCAAACATTGGAGACACGTTTAATCAAAGCTACTCACTTCCTTGGGCACGGTCTCTGGCCATCAGGCCTCAGAGATGAAATGTTAATGAAAAAGAGAGGAGACAAAGAAAGAAACCTACTGACTGGGTTGAATATTTTGTTCTGAGATCATCTCTGTGAGGGCTGGAAGATAAAACAGGTGTGAACGGGCTTGGGATCCACTTGAATTGTAAAGCGATCAGAAATCAAATCCAGGACAAAAAATAAAAAATAAATAAATAAAAATAAAAAGATATTTAGGACAGTTTGTATATTATACCATTGCCCTTGTGAGGAGAAATCAGCAAATAAATTAAGGTCATAATTTATTGGGCTGGCCGGTTAGTACACCCAGAGTGTGTTGATAGTGGTATAACACCAAGTTCAAGGGTTCGGATCCCTGAACCAGCCAGCCACCAAAAAAAAAAAAAAAAAAAAAAAAAAAAAAAAAAAAAAAAAAAAAAAGAAAGAAAGAAAAGAAAAAGAAAAAGAAAAAAAGAGGCACTGTAATGTATTATGAGCGTACTCACTTTATGTGATGTAAGCAAAATTCTGCCCATGAGACTCAACATCTAGAATATCGTTTGGTGGCTGCAGCGGGGATGTGAGGATATGCCTCTGATTATTATGGTAAATATTACAGAATCTAGTGACTTGAACAATCATACAGACTCGGCATAGGTGAAACTGTGGACACTTGTCAAAAGAAAGAAGCAGATATTTCAAATTAAAAAATAAAGTTAGGCTCTGAAAAATACACTTTTTAAACTTTCTAATAAAATTTGTTTATGACAATTTTGTTCTATATAGGGCTTGGAAAAATAACTATTTTTTGTTTGTTTGTTTTATAAGCTCACATATATTTGGTAATAACACATTCATAAAATGTCTAAAGC